GAGTGTTTGTGCCTTTGCCTATTACAAACATCTTGCAATTGATTTAATCTCAGAGAGGTGAGTCAAAAACGTGAAGATGCTGTGCAAGACTTCATAAACCATAAGGCTGCCAATCTGAAGCTAGAGGTAACTTCTATATCCATTTTTTCAGCTCACATTTCAATTACGTTTTCGTTTGCGGATCAAGTACTCATTGCCTCGGCTCTTGAGTAGAGCAACGCATCGGTTGTCTTATGGCTCGTATATGTTTGTGACATCTTTTTTTGGGACAAGTGGAGAAATTATTGTTCTTCTGCAAAGAGAATTGATGACTTTTTGCATAGCAAAATGCATAATTTGTGTTGGCGGAGTGAGAGTGAGTCAAAATTCACTTGAATCTTTAATCAATCGAGGGTTGGAAAGGAAATCTTCAAGAGCAATGTAGATTTCTGATGTTTTTTTTGTTTGATGCTCAAGCGCTTAAGCATTTTTACTTATCTGCTGCTGCTGAGCAGCATCATCTCTACTTGTTAGCTATATCTAGAGTTCCCCCGTCAGTTTGTTTTCGGTAAACTTGAAAAAGTAAATGAGGTGTTTTCTGGTCTTACATTCTCAACCTCGTCACAATTTTTTCTCTAGTGAAGATTTGTCATCTTTTTTTGTAAGAAAGATTTTTAAGAACACCACACAGGAGTTCATCTATCCTGAAAGATTCCTAAAAAATCAATCTGTGCTCTCAGAACAGAGTGCCCTACAGCTATACCACAAATAGAACGCTACTAATTTCAGATCGAGTCCTCTCCACTCCATGCTGGAGGTCCATCAGCAGCATCAGTAGTTTCAGAATGCAGCGTAAGCAGTTTGCCAAGCGACGCTCATCGTTTAGATCTCGATTATTCAAGACTTAGGGCTGAACATCGCAAGTTGCAGAGGCATTTGGAGGCAAGTCAATTTTTCCTTGTTCTTATATCTTCATCAGCACATTGTTTTCACGCTACCGTTGAAAATGTCTAGTGGTAGCGTCCAAAAATTGTGCGAAATCAACGAGGTCATATTAAAGGGCCGCGCTATTATAGGGTACAATTAGTGCGGTAGTTTTCAATGACACATCTTAATTATGATTTTCATATTAATGTATTATCCACTATCACTTGCGACAAAATTAGTTCGTCTAGGCAGTCCGTCATGACAGATATCGCGCACCAGAAGTAAAAGAAGCAGTCCGGCGCTTGTTAAAAGGTGATCCAGTCTCCTTAGAATGGTATCGATCAAAGGAAGAAAAAGTGCAGCTACTCGATGCAGCTATAGATATTGTAGATGGGAATGTCATTTTGGCAGTGAGTAGAGCTTTTGTATACTGTACCTTCGTTTATAAATCACCTTAAACATACTTAGGTGGTTCTCTTTCTCAAAAATACGTTGATGGACTCAATTTTTCGCGATTTACTGTTGAGAAAGCCTCAAGCCGCCGAGGAATACATATCCTATCTCAAAATAACTAGGGATTATGATGAGTTGACGACGACACTGTTGTAAGTTGCATACGTCGAGTTTTATATCATTATATTGTATTGATCTTGTACAAAATATCTGTTTAGTTTTTTAGTGCTCTGGGAAGAAATGCTGATGCTGCTATGATAGAATTCTCAGCTGCTATACGACATCAGGTTGCTGATCAAAAAGTGAATCATGCTCCAGATCCTTGTTATTATGGCATTGATCTTATAAATACAAGTATTTTTGATACACGAATATGTATTTATTTACACAAAATAAGTTTAGATTGTTTAGTGAGGAAGGCAATTGTGTCTGTGTTCCAAAAAGTTTATATTCAAATGTAATTCCTCCATTTTCTGAAATAACATGTTAAACAAAACATGCATATCATTTCCTAGGATGAGTTCATCGTGCTCATCAATCTGCTACAGTAAGATCAGTCTTTCCTCACATCAACTGAAATACTTTGCTGTTATTAGGTGCAAGCGCTAAAGAAATGTGTACGTAGCGGCTTCAGCGATCCTCTGCTAATGCCGGAAGCCGCTGTTGTTAACGACTACATAGGCCTTCTTGAGCAACAGTTACCAATTAACGTGAGTAGTTTTTTGTTAAATAAAATGATTTAATCTAAAATCACATGTAACGTTTTCGTATCTGTAGGTAGCGGATGATCAAAGTCGAAATCCAGCGTTTACTGCTTTCCCGAAGAATGCGAGCCTTGTTGGTAGATCCGTGATTGCCACATATTACTATTGCTGCTTGTACCATTATGACGATCCTGTGGTATGTCAGTGTTGAAAAATTCTATCTTAATCCTACCGAAATGCTCAAAAGGTTTCTATGTTGAGGCTTTTGATATTAACTTTTGAAAATTGCAAAGCGAGCATCTTTCAACATGGATGTAACTTTCAATTCAAAAAATGCTACAATCATATTTTGCAATCGAGCAATTTTTTAAAGCATGCGCTTGCAAACCCCTCCACTATTCGGGAGACGTTTCGAATAACAGACAAAGAAGCCGTATGGATAAGTGTGAGTGCACTTGCTAAACAGAGCAGGTAGACTTTTAGTGATTTATGCGTACTT